TCGACCAGATACACACACCCACCACATTGGAGGCGGGGATAGGCAGGAGGCATCATGTCCAAGGTCCTAGACACCCGCTCAGGTTCAAGGGTGGATACTGGGGTTGGAAACCCTAAACCCTTCAGATAGCCTTCAATGAACTACTGTGAATGGTGAGGAGGACAGACACTAAGGCAGAAGGCCACGGATGACAGGCCAAGGGGATTGTTGGGGCTGCTGGTGAGACAGAAACATCGGAGGATCACTGGAAAACTATTGATAGCCTAAAGCCCTGGGCAGGGTGGTCTTCTGTAAGCTTGCGCCAACGCTCTGGCTCTCCGGCACGGTACTCCACAGGTAGCGGGGCGCACGATGGATCCGTCTGGCCGAGGGATACCCAAGGGGTGAGCCGCGCAAACACGTCCGGTGGTGGGCGAGGCCACCGGCACTGGGTGGCGAGGCCAGTGCCCCAGGGGTGAAGGAGGCACCCCCGGGGCCGTGTTGGGCCGAGCTCGACAGGTCCCTCGACCAGTGGAAGCACGTGACTCGGAGCCCCATTCCGCGCTGGCAAAGGTTAGAGGTAGGAGAGGCGCAAAGCTTCTGGTAGGCAATCTGTGGTCCCAGGGCTCTAAGGCAAAAGGGGTCTCAGACAAGGAACGACAGGCCGGGCTTTGCCGGGGTGGGATCGGGACTGGTGAAAGGTTAGTCATCCGTGCCTGACTATGGTATGACGAAGGCTCTTAGCGCCCATGTGCCCAGAGCACCTATCGCAAAGGCCCCCCTAAGAGAGGGTGTGAGTTCAACACAAGAATCGACACGAGCGGGTGTCATGGCAGAAGGCCAAATGAGAGCATGGTCATACAGATAGCCAAGTTAGAGCCGTGGCCGGCTGGGTACAGTGAATGGTGGATCGGAAGCGTCACGCTGGAAGCGGCACGGGATGCTGGGCACTCCAGTGGATGACTGGTTGCGCGCCCGGCAGCTCCTCCAGCGCGCAGAGGACCGCGCGGTGGCACCATCGCGCCGCAAACTGCTCCCTGGTGATCATCGGGTCGCGTCCGCGAAGCCAGTCGCTGAGCACACCTGCTGTCTGCCGGACGTTGACGGTCGCGAGCCGCCAATCGGCAAGCAGGGCCTTCTTGCAGGAAGACAGGATGCGAGCCGCAACCGCTCCGGGGGTGATCGCCGCCGCATCTGGCTGGTGGCGGCCGCGCTGATATGCTGCCCACAGCTGACAGATTGTAGCGAGCCGCAGGCGATCCCAGAGCTGCCTGAGCTGCCGCGGCGGTCCCCAGATCCTGGTGTCATCGGCGAGAAGAAGGTCGGCGCTGCGCGGTGGCGCGTCGTCTCCGGTCACCGCGGCCCATGTCGCTGCGAACCAGTCCCACACCCCGGCGGCGAGAGGGCAGATGATGAAGACATGGGTGAGTGTGGCCAGCTGACCTGCACAGCTCGGATGCGGGCAAACGTGACCGGCGGGATCGGCGCGGTGGACGTGACGCGCGAAGCCGCCGACGAAGAGCTGGCCATGCAGCAGCCTCCACGCTGTCACGCGCTGCCGCCGGTCCAGATGGGAAGCGTGCACCACTTGCCACACATGAGCCCAAGGTGCTGATGGGTCTGCTGTGACAGCAGCAGCAGGATCAACAGTGACATCTGCTCCCTGTGGCACTGGTGAAGGGCCCGCTGGCGCGCCCGCAGGCCCGCCGCGGTCCCGCAGCGGAACCGGACGTGGTTGCGGCGCAGCCATCCAGATCGCCCAGGAGGAGGGATCAGGCTGCCCTCGAGGCCTTTTGCCTAAGACCTGCGACGCGGTACCAGCAGCTGCAGCCCTGGCCTCCCATCGCGCCTCGAGCGCCCGAAGGCCGCTGCGCTGATCATCTGTGGTATCAGCCCAGATGGCTGGTCGCAGCGGGCCCGCCGGGCTGGCCTCCCCCTTGCTGATCCTGTGAAGCACCTGTCGCCGCGCGGTGGCCTCCCTCACCACAAACTCATGTGCCGGCCGCGTGCCGAGCCCCCAAGCCTGAGGGTCCTGTACCTGGGATCCCCAGAGGCCAAAGAAGTATAGTGTGGGCGGCGGTGGTGGCAGTGGCTCCGGCAGCTGCTGCTCCCACTCCAACTGCTCCCCTGGCTGCTGCTCCACCTGCAGGTGCTGCTCTGGGTGCAGCTGCTCCGCGTGCTGGCGCTGCTGACGTGTGCCGCTGCGTGGATGCCAGGGCCTGGTGATGTCCCAGTGCTGAACCAATGCAGGCTGCGCGGCCGGAGGAAGGAAGGCGTGCATGGCTGCAACGCCTCCGTCCACTGGCACAAGGGCTCCTGTGCTGCTTACTGTGTGGCTGAGAAGGTAGGTGCTACCTTCGGCTGTGCGAGACCAGACGCGGCGATCCGACGGGTCCGGAGATGCGCACCACATAGCGGCCGGTGGCTGCACCTGGATTAGCGCTCTCCAGGCTGCTGGCAAGGCAGCCAGAAGGATGGGCACGCGCTCTCGCACCATCCGAACCGGATGCTCCGGGCCGCGCACGACATCGCGCAGGTGGCTGATCCTGACCAGGCCAAGCCTGGCCCAGTCCTCCCAGGCAAAGGGCTGCCTGACTGCATCCGTGAGCTCCCTGTTGAAGAACAGTGGCTCACCCATGACTGCGTCGTAGCCGATCGCTTCCGGCTTCCGCAGGTGATGGGGCCGCAGCTGCTGGTAGGCATGCAGGTACTGCCGTACGCGCTGCGGGGCCTCCACATGCTTCGCTGCAAAGGTGGAGAAGAGCAGGAATCTTCCCAGCTGCCAGATGTGCTGCCGCCGCGCTGACACCGTGCCGGGTTCCTGCGCTGCCAGCCAGGCTGTGCTCCTGTACAGCCAGTGGTCGAAGTAGGCCTTCCAGGCCAGCTGTTCCGGCTCCAACAGCCTGCCCACCACCTTGGCCTGGAGAGCCAGGATCTGGGCCTTGATGTCCACCAGCGCGATGCCGCCGTGTGCGGCCGCGCGGAAGCAGACGTCCTTGCTTGGGAACAGCGCCGCCGCTGCGCCAGGGGTCACCGGCCGGTTCGCCGCAACGAAAGTGTGGATGGCTCTGCAGAGCCTCTGTAGCAAGTCTTGTGGCACCGGTATGAAGGTGGCATGGTAGGTGACCATGGAGGCCAGCACCTGTTTTGCGACGTACGCTCGGCCCAGCAGGCTGAGTCTGAAGCCGGACCAGCGGGCGATGCGGGCCTCCACCTTCTCAATGATGGCTGTGTATAGGGCTGTGGCAGCTGCAGCTGGCTGGGTGGACAAGGGAATGCCCAGGTGCTTGACGCCGTCGCTCGAAGCCGCGAAGGTGACCCCCGTGACTGGATCGGGCCCGGCGAGATGGCTGAGGCTGCCAAGCCCTAGGGCCTGGCTCTTGCTGCGCTGCAGCCTGGCTCCTGTGGCTGCGCAGTGGAGGCCCACGCTGGCCCCCAGCACGATCTGAGCATCCCGGGGAGTCCGCGCGTGCACGCTGGTGTCGTCCGCATGCTGGTGCATGACTGGTGCTGGCTCCCCTGAAGGCAGTCTGATGGGCTGGAAAGCTAGCTGGCCTGCAAGCATCCTGGCATGCGCGGCCATCGGCTGCGCGGCAAGCACAAACAGCAGCGGCGAGAGGGGGCTTCCCTGGAATCGGCTTTGCCGGGGTGGGATCGGGACTGGTGAAAGGTTAGTCATCCGTGCCTGACTATGGTATGACGAAGGCTCTTAGCGCCCATGTGCCCAGAGCACCTATCGCAAAGGCCCCCCTAAGAGAGGGGGGCCTTTCATGTCTGTTCCACCACTGGTTGCCCGCACATCCATAACTGCCTACCAGTGATTGATGATTGCCTGCTTTGCTGTGACCCCTGCCTCCAGCTGCAAGCCCTAGGCTTGCCCCGTGGGTCCTCCAACGTCACCTCAGCGGTGTTGCGTTGCCGGCGGGCTGGAGTGCGCCTCTGGGGATGAGGTTACCCTCTGGTGCTTGGGACATGTCCATCGCTAGGCGCCTTTCTGTTGCCTTTCTGTGGTATGCCTTCATGCTTGCGCTTCTCTTCGGTATCGCCTTATCCTCCTGCGGGAGTGCTCTGCGTGCCCCAACTCTCACAGGTTTCCCCAAATATCCTATTGCATGCGTGCTGGGAAGCGTGCGATTGGCACCTATGTAATAGCGGGGGCTCCCCCTTAAAAAAAAAAAAAAAAAAAAAAGAGAGGGTGTGACCGTATTAACGTGCCTTTCATGTCTGTTCCACCACTGGTTGCCCGCACATCCATAATTGCCTGCCAGTGATTGATGATTGCCTGCTTTGCTGTGACCCCTGCCTCCAGCTGCAAGAGCCCTAGACCTGCCCCGTGGGTCCTCCAACGTCACCTCAGCGGTGTTGCGTTGCCAGCGGGCTGGAGTGCGCCTCTGGGGATGAGGTTACCCTCTGGTGCTTGGGACATGTCCATCGCTAGGAGCCTTTCTGTTGCCTTTCTGTGGTATGCCTTCATGCTTGCGCTTCTCTTAGGTATCGCATTATCCTCCTGCGGGAGTGCTCTGCGTGCCCCAACTCTGACAGGTTTCCCCAAATATCCTATTGCATGCGTGCTGGGAAGCGTGCGATTGGCACCCATGTAATAGCGGGGGCTCCCCCTTTAAAAAAAAAAAAAAAAAAAAACCAGTCCCTGTGGCTGGCGTGTCCTGATCCTGTAGAGCGCCGGGTCTGGTCGCGCACAGCTGCAGGGCACTACCATACAGCCAGCAGCACAGGCGCCCTCGTGCCAGGAGATGACGGAGCACAGGAGTCCCAGCCAGCAGCGGCCCTGTGGCTGGCATGTCCTGATCCGGTAGAGCGCCGGGTCTGGTCGCGCACAGCTGCAGGGCACGACCAGCTCAGCCATACAGTCAGCAGCACAGGCGCCCTCGTGCCAGCAGATCGACGGAGCACAGGCTGGTCAGCACTCGTTGCCCCCTGCGACCGCGCAGCCGACGTTGGTACAGCACTGGGACATCACTAGGCCCTGGCACCCGCGCACCGGGAAGCGCCAGCAGCCTGGAGCACAGGAGCAGGAGGAGGACGCTCTGGTGCCCCCGGCCGCAGCAGCCACGCTGAACCTCTTCGGCCTCAAGGGCAGCCAAATCTTGGATTGGCTGCCCCAAGCATGGGAACTCGGCCTGTGGGCCGGCACATGAGTTAGTGGTCAGGGAGGCCACCACGCGCCGCCAGGTCCTCCACAAGATCAGCAAGGGAGAGGCCCGGGAGGCACCTCAGCACAGATGCTCTTCCTTGCAGGGTGCCCGTGCGCAAGGACAAAACTGAGCGGAGCCCGCTCACCTATTATCAGTCTGGATGGCTGGCCAGTCCAGTTGAGATGCAACAAAAGCCGACTTCCTGACAGCACCGCTTCTGTGTTCGTCCATTTTCTCCACCAGCGCGCGTGCCTCAAAATCCCACCGGGTTTCGAGTCGCGCTCCACCACCGGCCGCATCGCCAAGCATGCAGCTGGCCATCGCCGCTCGGAACGCGCCAGGCTTTCAGCCCACGGACTGGTGGCGGCTGCAGCAGCAGCAGCAGCGGCGGGCGCAGGAGCAAATGACACACAGGCACTCCAGGACTGATAGCCCACCGGCACGGCTGCCCTCGCCGCAATGAGGCGCCAGCACTTGCCCTCCTGCGTCTTCTCAGCCTCAACGTCAACGGCTGGGACAAGACAAGCGGCGCTGCATCTGGAGAGGGACAGTAGGATATTATCCTCCTCCCGGAGACCCACCGCAACTCTGCAGAGGAAGGGGCAGCGGGTGGTCCCCAACGGGCTCCGCTGCAACTGGAGCGGGCCCGCTTTCTGGACCGCTACACCTCCCAGTCTCGCAGCGTAGCGGTCCTTTTCAGGGCCACATACCGCACATCAGACATCAAAAGTGCGTAGCAGCAGCGCATCAGGCCCCACTCTCCTTGTAATCTTCACATTCAGCGCCCAGCCGTACACAGTTCAACGCATTTACGCGCCCGCAGCGGCAGCGGAGCAGCCGCACTACAACACGCAGGAGCTGCTTACCAGCTTGCCAGTACACAGGCACCGGGTGGGTGGGGACTTCAACTGCATCTCTGGCCAGTAGGACATGCTGGACCTGGACAGCCCTGCCAGCAGACGCTAGGAGTGGAGTGGCCTGCAGCATGTCGAGACAGATCACCACCTCTACGATGTCGGGCGAGACCTCCACCCCAGCAGGCGTGCCTTCACCCACATATTCACCTCAGGCCAGTCAGCAGCGCGGCTGGATCGCTGGCTGATATTGGTGCCGCTGCGCGCCAGAGTCAGCCAGGAGCCGCGCGCGATCAGCCAGCACACTAAATGCGGCTCGTGGAGACTGAGCATCAGCTCTACGATGTCTGGCGTGACCTCAACCCCAGCAGTCGTGCCTTCACCCACGTTGCCACCACAGGTCAGTCAGCTGCCCGGCTCGACCGCTGGCTGGTCTCGGAGACGCTGCGGGCGCGGGTCAGCCGGGAGCCGCGAGCGATCGGGCAGGTTCTTGGTTATCCAGGAGACCACCTGGGGGTCAGCCTGAGCCTTACAGCTCCAGCCAGCACACTGTATGGCTCTGCAGCCTGGAGGCTGCCCCTTCATCTTCTGGACGATCAGCCGTTCTGCGATCGCGTTACGGCAGCGATTCCGGAGTATCTTGCCGCACACCCGCTCGGAGAGGGCGTCACGCAGGGCAGCAGGTGGGTGGAGTTGAAGAGGCAGGTCAAAGATATGGCCATGCAGCGTTCCTGGGCTCTCGCAGCGGAGCGCCGGGCCTCTCAGCGGGCTCTGGAGTCTGACAGCCGCGCAGCACTCGCGGCGTTCACCCGGCGGCCCGCACCAGACACCCTTCTGGCATGGCAGGATGCCCACCAGCTTCTGCAGGGCCTCAATGTTTTTTTTTTTTTTTTTTTTTTAAAAGGGGAAGCCCCCGCTATTACACAGGTGCCAGTCGCACGCTTCCCAGCACGCATGCAATAGGATATTTGGGGAAACCTGTCAGAGTTGGGGCACGCAGAGCACTCCCGCAGGAGGATAATGCGATACTGAAGAGAAGCGCAAGCATGAAGGCATACCACAGAAAGGCAACAGAAAGGCTCCTAGCGATGGACATGTCCCAAGCACCAGAGGGTAACCTCATCCCCAGAGGCGCACTCCAGCCCGCCGGCAACGCAACACCGCTGAGGTGACGTTGGAGGACCCACGGGGCAAGCCTAGGGCTTGCAGCTGGAGGCAGGGGTCACAGCAAAGCAGGCAATCATCAATCACTGGCAGGCAATTATGGATGTGCGGGCAACCAGTGGTGGAACAGACATGAAAGGCACGTTTATACGGTTGGCCGACAGGGATGGAACAGGATCGCGTTCGGACCCATTACCACTAGGTGCCGCTCGGGGCTGGCAATGTGACCCTAAACTATGCCTCAATCTGCCAGCAAGGTGGGGCACAAGCAAACGGTGGCATATGGGAGATATGAAGCCGCAAATGAGGCGAAAAACAGGTAGGCTGGTGAGAACTCGACCAGATACACACACCCACCACATTGGAGGCGGGGATAGGCAGGAGGCATCATGTCCAAGGTCCTAGACACCCGCTCAGGTTCAAGGGTGGATACTGGGGTTGGAAACCCTAAACCCTTCAGATAGCCTTCAATGAACTACTGTGAATGGTGAGGAGGACAGACACTAAGGCAGAAGGCCACGGATGACAGGCCAAGGGGATTGTTGGGGCTGCTGGTGAGACAGAAACATCGGAGGATCACTGGAAAACTATTGATAGCCTAAAGCCCTGGGCAGGGTGGTCTTCTGTAAGCTTGCGCCAACGCTCTGGCTCTCCGGCACGGTACTCCACAGGTAGCGGGGCGCACGATGGATCCGTCTGGCCGAGGGATACCCAAGGGGTGAGCCGCGCAAACACGTCCGGTGGTGGGCGAGGCCACCGGCACTGGGTGGCGAGGCCAGTGCCCCAGGGGTGAAGGAGGCACCCCCGGGGCCGTGTTGGGCCGAGCTCGACAGGTCCCTCGACCAGTGGAAGCACGTGACTCGGAGCCCCATTCCGCGCTGGCAAAGGTTAGAGGTAGGAGAGGCGCAAAGCTTCTGGTAGGCAATCTGTGGTCCCAGGGCTCTAAGGCAAAAGGGGTCTCAGACAAGGAACGACAGGCCGGGCTTTGCCGGGGTGGGATCGGGACTGGTGAAAGGTTAGTCATCCGTGCCTGACTATGGTATGACGAAGGCTCTTAGCGCCCATGTGCCCAGAGCGCCTATCGCAAAGGCCCCCCTAAGAGAGGGTGTGAGTTCAACACAAGAATCGACACGAGCGGGTGTCATGGCAGAAGGCCAAATGAGAGCATGGTCATACAGATAGCCAAGTTAGAGCCGTGGCCGGCTGGGTACAGTGAATGGTGGATCGGAAGCGTCACGCTGGAAGCGGCACGGGATGCTGGGCACTCCAGTGGATGACTGGTTGCGCGCCCGGCAGCTCCTCCAGCGCGCAGAGGACCGCGCGGTGGCACCATCGCGCCGCAAACTGCTCCCTGGTGATCATCGGGTCGCGTCCGCGAAGCCAGTCGCTGAGCACACCTGCTGTCTGCCGGACGTTGACGGTCGCGAGCCGCCAATCGGCAAGCAGGGCCTTCTTGCAGGAAGACAGGATGCGAGCCGCAACCGCTCCGGGGGTGATCGCCGCCGCATCTGGCTGGTGGCGGCCGCGCTGATATGCTGCCCACAGCTGACAGATTGTAGCGAGCCGCAGGCGATCCCAGAGCTGCCTGAGCTGCCGCGGCGGTCCCCAGATCCTGGTGTCATCGGCGAGAAGAAGGTCGGCGCTGCGCGGTGGCGCGTCGTCTCCGGTCACCGCGGCCCATGTCGCTGCGAACCAGTCCCACACCCCGGCGGCGAGAGGGCAGATGATGAAGACATGGGTGAGTGTGGCCAGCTGACCTGCACAGCTCGGATGCGGGCAAACGTGACCGGCGGGATCGGCGCGGTGGACGTGACGCGCGAAGCCGCCGACGAAGAGCTGGCCATGCAGCAGCCTCCACGCTGTCACGCGCTGCCGCCGGTCCAGATGGGAAGCGTGCACCACTTGCCACACATGAGCCCAAGGTGCTGATGGGTCTGCTGTGACAGCAGCAGCAGGATCAACAGTGACATCTGCTCCCTGTGGCACTGGTGAAGGGCCCGCTGGCGCGCCCGCAGGCCCGCCGCGGTCCCGCAGCGGAACCGGACGTGGTTGCGGCGCAGCCATCCAGATCGCCCAGGAGGAGGGATCAGGCTGCCCTCGAGGCCTCTTGCCTAAGACCTATATTTCTCCGATGTTTCTGTCTCACCAGCAGCCCCAACAATCCCCTTGGCCTGTCATCCGTGGCCTTCTGCCTTAGTGTCTGTCCTCCTCACCATTCACAGTAGTTCATTGAAGGCTATCTGAAGGGTTTAGGGTTTCCAACCCCAGTATCCACCCTTGAACCTGAGCGGGTGTCTAGGACCTTGGACATGATGCCTCCTGCCTATCCCCGCCTCCAATGTGGTGGGTGTGTGTATCTGGTCGAGTTCTCACCAGCCTACCTGTTTTTCGCCTCATTTGCGGCTTCATATCTCCCATTCCCCTTTTTTTTTTTTTTTTAAAAAAAAATCTCCCATATGCCACCGTTTGCTTGTGCCCCACCTTGCTGGCAGATTGAGGCATAGTTTAGGGTCACATTGCCAGCCCCGAGCGGCACCTAGTGGTAATGGGTCCGAACGCGATCCTGTTCCATCCCTGTCGGCCAACCGTATAAACGTGCCTTTCATGTCTGTTCCACCACTGGTTGCCCGCACATCCATAATTGCCTGCCAGTGATTGATGATTGCCTGCTTTGCTGTGACCCCTGCCTCCAGCTGCAAGCCCTAGGCTTGCCCCGTGGGTCCTCCAACGTCACCTCAGCGGTGTTGCGTTGCCGGCGGGCTGGAGTGCGCCTCTGGGGATGAGGTTACCCTCTGGTGCTTGGGACATGTCCATCGCTAGGAGCCTTTCTGTTGCCTTTCTGTGGTATGCCTTCATGCTTGCGCTTCTCTTCAGTATCGCATTATCCTCCTGCGGGAGTGCTCTGCGTGCCCCAACTCTGACAGGTTTCCCCAAATATCCTATTGCATGCGTGCTGGGAAGCGTGCGACTGGCACCTGTGTAATAGCGGGGGCTTCCCCTTTTAAAAAAAAAAAAAAAAAAAAAAGACCTGCGACGCGGTACCAGCAGCTGCAGCCCTGGCCTCCCATCGCGCCTCGAGCGCCCGAAGGCCGCTGCGCTGATCATCTGTGGTATCAGCCCAGATGGCTGGTCGCAGCGGGCCCGCCGGGCTGGCCTCCCCCTTGCTGATCCTGTGAAGCACCTGTCGCCGCGCGGTGGCCTCCCTCACCACAAACTCATGTGCCGGCCGCGTGCCGAGCCCCCAAGCCTGAGGGTCCTGTACCTGGGATCCCCAGAGGCCAAAGAAGTATAGTGTGGGCGGCGGTGGTGGCAGTGGCTCCGGCAGCTGCTGCTCCCACTCCAACTGCTCCCCTGGCTGCTGCTCCACCTGCAGGTGCTGCTCTGGGTGCAGCTGCTCCGCGTGCTGGCGCTGCTGACGTGTGCCGCTGCGTGGATGCCAGGGCCTGGTGATGTCCCAGTGCTGAACCAATGCAGGCTGCGCGGCCGGAGGAAGGAAGGCGTGCATGGCTGCAACGCCTCCGTCCACTGGCACAAGGGCTCCTGTGCTGCTTACTGTGTGGCTGAGAAGGTAGGTGCTACCTTCGGCTGTGCGAGACCAGACGCGGCGATCCGACGGGTCCGGAGATGCGCACCACATAGCGGCCGGTGGCTGCACCTGGATTAGCGCTCTCCAGGCTGCTGGCAAGGCAGCCAGAAGGATGGGCACGCGCTCTCGCACCATCCGAACCGGATGCTCCGGGCCGCGCACGACATCGCGCAGGTGGCTGATCCTGACCAGGCCAAGCCTGGCCCAGTCCTCCCAGGCAAAGGGCTGCCTGACTGCATCCGTGAGCTCCCTGTTGAAGAACAGTGGCTCACCCATGACTGCGTCGTAGCCGATCGCTTCCGGCTTCCGCAGGTGATGGGGCC